AAAGTATATATTATATTCACTTATTTACTGCAACAATGATATAGCCTGGACTCGCTATATTATTATTGAGACAGGTAGCGCACAGCACTTGCCTTGTGGAATGAAAAGGGTTACCCTGTAAAAAGTCTATAGTAAGTATACAGTAGACCTCCCTATAAAACGGGTTCATGTAGTTCAGATTCCTATATGACGGCAAAAAAATTGCGACTGTATTTGTATAAACACACTAAAAGAGACTCGTATAATTCAGTAAAACATCATCGTTGACTTGTGTCGTGACAGGATTGGTCAAATCTAGACCAATAGCAGATATTGCACAAACCGTAGAGTTTAAATGAGCAGCGGACCTACTAAAAGCCATTTATTATTTAAAAGCCATAAAAATTATATTTATATTACTGATGTCTCCAAAGTTCAGCAAAGTTTTCGCAGAAAAATAATTTATCAGGAAGCACGCGAGCGCCATTTGATGCACCGCTCCACCATGAAAACAAGCTTAAGCCATGGCATCGTTGAACGGTGCACACTCAGTAAGTAATCTTACAATTTTTTGTTTATATCATAGATTATATGGATTATTCCAAAAAATTATACATATTTCGGAAATGTTGAGTTGAATTAGTCTAGAATCAATTAATTTTATGGAAGAAAACCTTTCAAACAGCCAAGTCTGTAAACTGCATACGTGCCGGGCTGTGATTGGCTCATGTATTTAAAGACTCTTAGAACATCAGTTTCATAAAGAACGGAATGTATCTATCGTGTTATAGGTGGGTAGACTGTATAAGTATAGGCGGCCCTCAACATTTGCACATTCTAGTTTTGCACAGTTCGCTATTTCGCACATTTTTAAAAAATTTAACTTTTTAAATATTTTTGTTGATAATGAAAAAATTTCCTTCCATGCAGAATGCTCATATGCTACAAACTGTGGTAGCTCACTCTACATTCTTGGACACACATTACTTCCTACAATAGCGGACTTCTCGGAATCCTAATCACTACTGTGTTATTCTGTGCAAGAGTTTAAAACAGTTTCAGTCTTGAATTGGGGCATGTGTCAACGTGTTGTGTGTTTTGCCAATTTATTTGTTTATGTTTAAATATTTTGTATTTATAAATTGAGAATCATGAGTGAGAAACAGAAACTGCAGTATTGATACGAACAAAAAGAAATTAAGGATTCATAAACTTCATACGATTGAGACAAAGATGGAAATAATTAAATGTTCTGAAAATGGTGAATCTTTTGCTTCAATTAGACGTTCGTATGATGTAAACAGATCTACAATATGTGCAATTTTGAAAAATTAGAGTAAAATTAAGGAATAAATATTTTAAATACTGTTTTTGGTGCATATTTTTTTACATCCCTCTACTTTCGAACATTCAACATTTGCACACACTTTCAGTAACCAATTATGTGCGAAAGTCAAGGGCCGCCTGTATTTAGTTTTTCACATCTAACAACTCAGGTTTTTTTATTTCTAAACAGTACTTTCTTAATTCTAATAAGCGCCCTCCAATAGTCAAGTGTATAAAATCACTTAACTGCGGTAGTTATTTAGTTGTGAGTTTGGGCATGGCCAACAGGCTGGGCACATGTAGTATCCCAGGTTTTCTTTACATTAGCAACACATAAATAGGGTCCAGCGTCTCATAAAAGTCTTCTCAGGATGCATCTCCCTCGGCAGATCACTAACCAAATAAACCAAACTAATTCTAACAAGCAATTATTTATTGTGACTTTGTCACAATGCTGGGTTGCAACTTTTTGTCACAATGTTCTCAATTCTATTAGTGTTGTCTTGTCCTTATACAACATACTTTTCATGTTAGCAATAGAGTCATGTTGGTCATCTATCTAACTCTAACCAGGGAAAATTTTGAATCAAAGTAACATGACTTCCATTCTAAATCAGAAGTTCATATACAGATAATCTGACCCTCCTGCCCCTAAGCTTTCCACATTTGGTCTCAACTATTTAACTCCATTCTCAAGATTAAGGAAGGGCAGACAGTGGATGACAGTCAGAATTTATAGGTCTACAATTTTTTCAAATTGCAGCACCATAATTTTTTTTATAAATGCAATATTTATGAGAACATACTTCCCACGTAGTTTATACAGTCTGTTACCAAACTTTAAACACTTTATTATCACATAAAACAAGTCATATGAAGTCTTTTGGATGTTAAGGTTAGCAACTTCGATCACATGTGGGGCCATCACAACCTATCCAACACAGATCACTTTTCAAATATTAATAGTAGACCAGTATTAATTATTTATCGTTGACCATCCTTTCTTCTGGGAGGAGGTCAACGCCTACTTTTGGTCAATTTAACTTCTACTCCCTTCTGCAACAGTCCCTTCTTTCTATTGGACCAGTTGTATGGTGGCATTCAAATAGAAAATTACATAATATGAGGTTACTGGTGAGCACAAAATATATTTTAAGTGGTTTTCAGGGGTGCTGAGGGTAAATATTGTTCTGTTTTGTTGTGAAATTTGATTGGTTGGCAGATCACTATTTGATATTTGGCCGTGAATGGAACAGTTTCTTAGGGTTAACATTAGGAAAAATTATGATACCATAAATTTTTTAAGATATATTTTCAATTGGTGTCTACTTGACCAATGAAATTATGCCATTTTGTACCATCCGAGTATCACGATAAATATGACAATGGTAAGCTAAAATAACCAAACTTTATGATTTTTGTTTTAATGTTTGTTATATTATAATATTTGATTTACATAATTACAAAGGTTATATTATGTAAGGGTGCACACCAAGTGACCAATCTAACACATTTTAAAAATTCTTTATTTTTGTACTGTACACAATTTAAAGAATTTTTAAAATTGTTAGATTCATCACTCATCACTCTGTGTGATGAACCCTTATGTAAGATAATGTTCATAGTATTATAAATCAAATACTATAATATAATAGAAGGGTTAGAAGTATGAAATAATCTTAAGTTTGTACTTATTTTTTTGCCCGGGTAATGCTGGGCTCATCTGCTAGTTACAATATAAATGTTTTTAAACCTTCAAATTCAACATCAGTTGTTTTTTAATAAAACAAATCCAACAAATCAGACTACATTTAAAATTTAATTTGTTCTGTTTGGAAGATTTTTTATTAGAAAGTAGTTGATATTGGACTGAGAGTTTTAGAAAAAATTATTTTTAGTGATAAATAATTGACTTCTATACTTGTTTGTTTTGTTTTTACTATGTATCAGTTATTGTTTTCTCCTTTAAGTGATTACTGATTATTGAACTTTCTTTTCAGATTGTTGATTGCAATCTTGTAGAGAATAAAGGATATATAAAAATTAAAGTAGAAATTCCCAAGCATCCAGATTTTAGAGAAATTATAACAAATGAAAAAGTAAAGTTTTTAATATTCATTTTCCAACTTTGTGCTGTACTAAAGCATAAAATAGTTTATTTCAATCTTACTTTATAAAAGTAATACAGTTGAACCTTGCTTAATGAGCATCTCTCATAATGAGCAAAACAGATTGTAAAAGAAATAACTCGCTTAACAATTGATGAGGAGAGGGGAAGTCTCGGATTGTGCGCATGCTACATCAGTCTGTGTTTAGCACTCATTCTGCTAACATCTTAGTATTGCTTGTGATCACACATTTTTCCAAACTTGTGTTCAGACATATTACATATAAACATCAACAACCATAGCCCGTTATATAATAAACACGCTAAATGATATACCAAATTCTTGGGCTATGAGCTATTTAATAATTATAAATAATTAATTTTTAATTTAGACATTTCTAAAATTTAATTTGGAATTGGTCATTAAATTTAATACAAGATGGCAGTATAACTGTCAACCTCTAGTCAAATTAATCAGTTTCTAATATTTAATTATAGCCTTTACATAGCCCAAAAATTTGGCATATCGTTTGGCTGTTTATGAGACATACTTTTTTGTTTCCTGCAAATCGAATTTGCATTCCAGGTTGGTTCATTCTGTGCTAAAGAAAAGATGAAGATGATTCATGCTTCTTAACAATGTATATTGTACGAGGGCGGATTTTTCAAGCTCTGATGGTCCCTAAAACAAAGACAAGTGTAAATAACAAAATAAATTTATTACCAAAAGTTGGGTACAAGCATGGTTACTTTTCAACATAACCACTCTGAAGATAGAAGAATTTGTCATATCTGTGGACAAGCGTTTCCATCTCCTTGTCATAGAATGCCACCAGTGAATTGAAATGGCCTTAACAATGTTGTTTTGAAGATTATCATTAGTCTCAAACTTCTGCCCTGCTAGCCACGTTTTCAGTTCAGGAAAGAAGTGGAAGTCTTCACACATGAAAAAGTTTTAAGCTGGGTGGAAGTCTTCACCACCTTTAAACACCCAGCATAAAGCCCTGATTTAGTGCCGAGCAACTTCCATCTCTTTCCTGAACAGAAAAAGTGGCTAGGAGGGCAGAGGTTTGAGACTAATGATGATCTTCAAGTCTTCTCAAGGCCTTGGCAGCAACATTCTATGACAAGGGGATGGAAAAGCTTGTCCACACACAGATATGACAAATGCCTCAATCATCACAGTGATTATGTCGAAAAGTAACCATGTTTGTACCTGACTTTTGGTAATAAATTTATTTTGTTATTTACACTTGTTTTTTTTTTTTTTTTTTTTTATGGACCACCGGAGCTTGAAAAAAAACAGCCTACATATAATTTTCTTTAAATAAACATTATACATAAAATATTTGAGTATTTGTTTTGGCTTGGAATGCATTATCACATTTTGGGGAAAATTGTTTCGCTTAATGAGTGTTTTGTGTTATGAGTAAGATTCTGGAATGAAGTATGCTCATTTAATGAGGTTCCACTGTATACAATTTTTACTCTATCATTTTTAACTTTTAATTTTTGTAATTATATTTTAATTTTGTTAGTTATTGTTGTTATTTTATTATGTTTTTATTTTATTCATTAATATAATCAATGTTCTCAAATATCTCATAGCCTTTAGGATTAACTAAAATAATATAAAAAGCAAACAATATATTTATTATGGGCCAAGTGATTAATAGAGTGATTAATAAGGCATTATTTATAATGCCCAGCCATTATGAATAATGACTGAAATGGCCATGTAGCTTGATAAATATTGATTAATTTATTGAATTGACCAGACATTATGAATAAAGCTATATTCCCTTTGGGCAATTTGATTTTCAAAAAGAAACTCCACTTTTTTCATTAAGAATCATTTATTTTTTGTGAATTGTTCCAAATTCCAAAGTATTTTAAAAACAATATGTGATTTTTAAAAGTGCTATCAACTATATTAATTAAACTAATGTTAACAAAAAGTCTTATTAACAAATTTATACTTCAATGAAAAATCAACTTAAAGGAAACTTATGGAATGTCAGTTTTGGTATAACGTTTATAAAAAATTAAATATTTCTTTAGGTTATTCATTCAAACAATTAAGACTTTGATGACATTTGCTGATATTAACTCCTTTTGCCGATATTAACTCATTTAATTAGTTGTTGAAGAGGTTATTCAAATCACTTAATGATTGCTGCATGATTGTTATTTTTTTTGAAAGAAGAAAATAATATTTTAAGAGACAAAAATAAAATTAAAATGTTGCACAAGTTTACCTATTGACCACATGAATTTAAAATTTGATAATAAACACAATACACATACGCAACTCAGATGCAAGAGCTGATTGGCTAGCACATGTTAAATGATCACTTCTCAAAGTATTATTATCACTTTGCCCAACCAGGAGATAGCAGTATTCATAGTGACTGGTCAATCTGATAAATTATGATAAAAAATCCTGAAATTTATTATAGTGCCTGATTTTGTTTGTCATTATTCATACAGGCATTATACATAATGCCCGTATTAGTTTACTTAGTTTATAATATTTATTTCATATATTTACTATTTTCAAAATTTTAATTTAAATGATACAGTAGAGCATCGATTATCCGACTCAATTGGGGACTGGGGTTGGTCAGATAAATGAAAAAACGGATAACCGAAAAGTATGAAAAAATACATTATTAATAGACTATAGTATACTAGTAGTCTGGGATGTCCCCTAGTGGGCATTCTTTACAAATTTCCATGAGGCACAGTTCCTTTGACTTTTTTGTTCCTATCAATATGCTCTACAGCTCTGTTAAAGTCCCAATTGCATCATACGGATCTATATTTCTATCTATTAAACATTCTATAAAACTTTAAAATAGTTTAACTTGTTTATTTATCTTTGGTTGTAAACCTCGATTTTAAATGAATCTGCCATTTTTTTCAACAAATTTCCCATGAGTCAATGCGCGACGTTCACTGACTTGTGAGTCACGGGATGTTGTAAACGTGCAGCACAAGGTTAATCAAGGCATATAATAAGGCAAGGCAAGGCATATAATAATTATTAATACTATTCCATGGTATCAATAATAAATTCCTATTACAAATAAAAATAACTTATTGTTAATTTAAAATCATCGCAAGGGCACCTCTAGTGCCCGTTTTTGGCATACCGTTACACGGACAGACGGACAGATGGACACGTGTTCAATGGGATATTATATAGATAGATTAGTATATCCCATGCAATCAGTATATTGCTATTGACCTACTTTGCATTGAATTTTCATCGATGTTAAGCCTAACAAAAATTTTTTAAAATAATAATCATCGCTACTGTATCGTTAAAAATTATTTTAAAATTATTTTATTGCTCAAACAAATCACCACTCATAATTACAAAATTAAGCCTCGTTTAAATACTGGTCTTTCATGGTCGAGCCAATGTTGCCAGCTAAAACACGCAAAATTTAACAAAAATAATATCAAAGTAGCCAAGACAGCCAAATATTGTAGTGCCAAATCACTAGTGGACATCTGAATTTGATGACTAGAACGCGGTTGGTTAACCGATGTGACGGTTGATCAGGGGTTGGATAATCGATGCTCTACTGTATATTCAAATAATACTGGATAAAGTAATACTGCAAATTGTATTTTGTCTTCCTATTAATTTTAATATACTTGATCAGAATAGATTGATTTAATCCCGATAAATAAACTGCAGGAGCATATTTTTGCATTATAACTCATTTATTTCAATAAAAAATAAAAAAGTACTTATGTAATACTGATGATATCTAGGAACTTTTGATAATACAGTGGGTGATCGGTTAATGAACAAATTGGATAACAAACACTTTCACAAAAGATTTTTATGTTCGGATAACGAACACCTCACAGAACAAACACAAGAAGTGACGTAAAATAATGAATATCAATTGGTCTTCCCTTGTCTTCAGGCAACAATTCGAAACTTTTTGGGGCATGGGAGACATCGACACTCTACAAGGTATATACTGATCGAATAGTGTTTATTTGAACTTTGAAACTCTCCCTTGTAATTCCAGCCTTTCATTTTTTTTGACAAACAATTTTTTTTATAGTATAGACTGTTGGGCTGGCACTCCTTAAGTTTTGCGTCGGTTTTTATTTTCAAAAAGTGAGAGTATAATAGCAAAGGTAGATAGTGGAAAGAAGATGTCTGATGTTACTGGGCAGTATGACTTGAACAGGTTTACAGTAGGCTGCAGTTCAATCTTATCTAAGAAAGATACTGTATAATCAAGAAGACTCAAGCAGCTAAATGAGTTAGAAAAATCACATCTGAGAAATAAAGAACATTGAAGAGCTCATAATGGAACCTGAAACTGATTTGACGACAGAAGAATGCCAAGAAACTTGGCAAAATATATTTTCTTTTGAAAAAGAGGATTAATGCCGATATCTGCTATTAAACATCTTTTGAAGAAGTACAAGGATGTCAGAACAACAGTTTTAGAATGGCATTCAAACCAGGTTGAGGTTACTAGGCTTAGGAATCTCTGCAATTACAATGCTATTAATTACTTTTGAAAAGTCCTGAAGAAGAGAGAAAAGCAATCAACATTAGACAGATTCTTTAACCCTCACAAATGGAAAAAATATGACTAATAAAAATGCAAGACTCTGTATGTATGTATTTTTATTATTACATATAAATAAACGTAGTAAGAAAGTATATATTTTTTACTTTTTGATGTTTCAAGAACAAATTAATCAAATTCCCATAAAAACCTATGGTAAATTGATAATCGGTTAACAAACAATTTGGATAGCGAACAAAGTCTTGGAACAGATTATGTTTGTTAACTGATCACCCGCTGTAGTTGGTGATGAATAGATGTAAAATTCTGTTTCATTAATTTTGCATCATTTTAAATTAAATAATTTATACGTTTATGTAAAATGACAATAAAATTGTTAAGTGATCATATTAAATTTATAATATTTAATCTCTTAAAGATTAAATTGGCTATTATTTTGTATTAAAGAGAATTTTTTTTATGCAGTACATTTGCATGAACAACTATATGCCAGGATATCTAGTAGCAAGGAAGCTTGGAATAGGCAGTTATCTATTTTCACGAATGACTGGAACATTTTTTGTTCAGACTAATTCTCGAGAAAGCATGAATGCGAATAAAGTGAATATAGGATTAAATTTGAAGTTTAATGCTAAAAATGAAGAGGTGAAAGTTGTTTATAAATGTTCCAATATTAAGATAAAAAATTTTCAAATGTGTAGTTTAACATAAATTTGTATTTTTAGATTCCTGGTTTTTCAAAAAAGTCAGATGATGGAACTTGGTTATATTCTGATAAAGCACTTGAAATTATGGATAATTATTTGAGAGAGTAAGTTGACTATTTTAAAATATTTTCAGAGATCTTATTTTGAATATGTACATTTATGAACTGCACATATACCTCAATATATATTTTTTATATTGTTTAATATAAAATAATGATATATATAATATTGAAAAAAACCTTAATAAAATAATGTATATGTTATTTAATTATATAAATTTAGAAGATAAATATAATTTGAAGTATACTCAAATATAACTTTTTAATTTAGGTTTCCTGAATTATTTGAAAAGCTAGTTACTTTGTCAGATCATGATATAGTTCATATAAGCAATTTATTTTCGTCTGAAGAAGATGGGTATATAAACAATAATATATAAGAAAATAATATAAATATTTTTATTTCAAAAATTAGCTTACTTATTGTAAAATTTAATTTTTAAGAAAGGAAATGCTGAAAAAAATAACTAACTGGTTAAAATCTCAACCATGTGCATCTGTGGAAAGGAGGAGTTGCAATGCTAGAGTACTAGACATCTCAATTGTAAAAGTTATTGAAGATGTTGTTGACAACAATCAGAAAGTAAATAGATTTTATTTGAAATCATTTTTATTAAATAAAAAATCAGATGTATATTTATTCCTCTTTAGAGTGAAAACAAATCAAAGTATGTCTTGACATTGGAAAAGCCAAATCTTTTATATTGTCCTGCAAATACAGTTGGATGGTCTGCACCAGATCCTCAAGCCAAATATGAGTTATATGACAGAGTTATAGCAGTACAAGAGAATCATACAGTACCATTAGGTACAAGAGGCACTGTTATAGGAATTAATGAAAGTAAGTTTTATTTACATGAAATGCATATTTAAAATTTAATGTAATTTGTTTTTTTTATCTTTACCTATTAACAGTATATAATTATATAAAATATAAAAGGGTTGTTCAAATGAAATATAGGTTGAATTATATAAAACATATGGAGTCACTGGTAACCATAGCAGAATTATAATGAACACAACATAATGACAAAGTTGCATTAGCTATTCTAAGAAATCATCTCCCACATTCAGACATGTGTCCCAATATGGTACAGGTTTGTGTGTACTCTCTGCATAGAAAGAGAAAGGCTGCTGGATGAACCATAGTTACAGCTTCTTGTACTTACTTCAGATCTGAGACTTTTAAGAAACTTTCTGACAGCAATGTCCAAGCAGCTTAATAACTGAATGGTTCATTCAGCAGCCATTGTCTTTCTGTGTGAAGAGTGACAAATCTGTACTGCACTGGGACATGTGTCTGAATGCAGTTCAGACATTTCAGTTCAAATTCAGTTTGGCAAAAATATCAGTGAAAATTTTAAAAATTTTAGCAGGAACACCAGAAAAATATGCATGAATCAACTTTTGAAACTTTAAGAACTATTCTTATTAACAATGATAAAATGAAAATATCATATATACAAGAGTCGTTCAAGGTTAAACGAGACTTTTATTTCTACAGACCAAAAAGAATGTCCAAAACATGTATAAACTATGTTAATTTTTTGAAGTACTCTCCATTTGTATGTAGACACTGTTCCCAATGGCAGGGTAGGTCCCTGATACCTTTCTCACAGAAAGAAGTGGGTTGACGTAGCCAGCACAGGACAACTTGCTGCAGTTCATCATCTGTCTGGAATTTTGTTCCTCCCAGGTGCCCTTTAAGAGGCCCAGATAAATGATAATTGCTGGGAGCTAATCACCTTTGATATGAAACCAATTCAGAAGCTGCTCATATGTCTACTTGCATGCCCATTTCTGATCACATGTCAGCTGTCAGGGAATCCATCTGGCACACATCTTGTGGAACAGTAAGTGCTCGTGGATGATTTTCTCAACACTCCCAACACTGATGGACACTTCATCTGCAATGTGTCTCATGGTTACTCACTGGTTTTCCAGGATAACTTGCTCAATCATGCGATATTCACTGGTGTTACTGCAGTTTGGATGAACCATTTGAAATTTGCTTCATTTGTCACCAGCTTTCATCCTTCATTAAATTATCGACAACATTTGTACACTCATGCCCGCGATAGTGTTTGTTTCCCATACTGTGCACTCAATCTTCTCAAAATTTCAGCAAGTTTAATTTTTTCCTTTATGAGAAATTTGATTCTGTGCCACCATTGCACCATTGCAGACACATTACCTTCCACCACGATCACTAAAACTGTTACGCATGTGCAAAATACAGCATGCTTGTTACCAACCTTTTGAGGTGGATAATGCTACTTCCTCTTTGGGTTTTATTGTGCTATAGTTACTTTTTGAAATTATAGACCCAAAAGTCTCGTTTAACCTTGAACAACCTTTGTAATATTGCAGAGATGTTTCATTCATTCATTACAATCTTCAAAAATTTGCTGTTTTTGACACTTCTCTCTGCATTATTCAGAGAAACTTTTAAAATGGGTTTGTAATAAAAATGGACCTGTTTATCCTTCATGTATGTGAAGTACAGTATGTTTCTTCTTCTTAAATAAAAGACAGACTGTACCAGACTAGCATGAGTTAGAGCAAATTTTGGTTTTATGATGCAAGTTGCCATGTCATAGAACGTAAAAATTTAATTCTAAGTTTTTCATAGTTTACCTCATTCTGATAATAGAAAAAAATGCTTTATTATTTGAGAAATTATAATTAACTTATTTATTATTCTTATAATAACACAGTATCAAATTAATCGTCCTAATTTTACATTATGAATTATTTTTAAATTTGGCTTTCATACACAGTGGTGCCTTGGTATACGTTCGCTTTAGAATACATCCAATTCGGAATACGTTCTGTTTGGACGAAACAAATTTTGCTCGGTATACGATATATGACTTAATTCAATTATACGCGCCATCTATGAACAAGTAGCACTATTGGTGTACTAGCCCCACACTAGATGTTCATGGTGCCACGGTTTATAACTTTGTTAAATTTCTTCTGATTTTAATATGTAAATAAAATTTTATTATTTTTATTAATCATGAATTGCAAAAAAGCAAATTAAAAGCAACAGAAAACTAAAAAAATGACTAGAATCACAATGGAACTGATAAAAGAGATTGTTGAGAAATATGAAGGTGGCATGCGTGTTTGAGATTTTGACTGTTGCATACCGTATTCCGAGAATGACGATATCAACAATCATGAAAAATAAAGACATTATTAAATCTGCTAACATTGCGAAAGGGGTTAAATCAATTTCTAAACAGAGATCAAAGACATTAGATCATGTTGAGAAATTGCTTTTGCTTTGGATAACTGAAAAACAATGTGCTGGAGACAGTGTATCAGAAGAAATTATTTGCAAGAAAGCTAAAAAAATATATGCTGATCTCATGAAAAATCAAGCAGGAACTAGCCAGGAAAGTGAGATGTTTAAAGCCAGTCATTTTTTTTACATGAGAACAGACTAATAATTTTTACATTACTTCTTATGGGAAAGGTTGGTTTGGTATATGTCCTATTCGGTATAAGTCCAAACACTTGGAACGGATTAAGGTCGTATACCGAGGTTCCATTGTATATTAATTAAATTAACAAAATTTTAAAATTACTATACTTATATTGTAATGGGAAAAAATAATCATGGTGTATATAGAAACTTAGATTATGTTTAATTATTAATATTAGTTAATCTTAGATACGAAGGGAATCTGATATTAAAGGTACAGGCCAAAATTACACTAACATTTATAATTAAAGAAAATATTTAATACCTTCCACAAAAACTACTTACCTTTGTTTATTTCTCGACATACTTGCCATAAACATTGAGACATTTATCCCAGTGTGACACAACTTTAAACATCTGTTCATGGTACTATTGCTTGTCAAATTGTTTGAAGTAGTCCAGAACGGTGTCTTCCAATTCCTCCTGATCTGCAAAGTGTTTCTCCACCAAAAATTTCTTTAAAGGTTCAAATAAATGAAAATCTGATGGGGGGCTAAATTTGGACTATATGGAGGATGTTGCAGGATCTCCCAATTCTGCCATGCCAACCACAGTTTGGTTTGATTTGATATGTGGAGTATAGTCCAGATTTAGCCCCCTTTGATTTTCATTTATTTGGACCTTTAAAGAAATTTTTGGTGGGGAAACACTCTGCAGATCAGAAGGAATTGGAAGACACCATTCTGGACTACTTCAAGCAATTTGACAAGCAACAGTACCATGAAGAGATGTTTAAAGTAGTGTCACGCTGGGATAAATGTCTCAAAGTTTATGGTAAGTATGTCAATAAATAAACAAAGATAAGTAGTTTTTGTGGAAGGTATTAAATATTTTCTTTAATTATAAATGTTAGTGTAATTTTGGCCTGTACCTTTAATATCAAATTCCAAATGTACATTAATTAAATGTAATATTTTTTCACTTATTTTGCAGATGAAAAGCAGAATGAAACTTTATATACAATAGTATTTGATAATGAGTTTATGGGTGGTCTTGAATTAAACTGTTCTAAATCACGAGGTTATCAAATGAAACCTTCTGATTTAATAAATATTTCTTATGGTGAAAGAGTTAATTTACTTGATATTGGAAAGAATTTTAAGTCAAATCAACAGTCAATTTATAATGAGGTATATTTTATATTTTTTGTTTAATTTATAAAAAATTTTAACTTGCATAATAAGTTTAAACTTAATCAAAATACATAAAAATATGTAAGTTTAATTAGTTCTGTCTAATATATAGAAATTTATACAAGTTTCTTAGTTATAAAATAATCTATAAATTAAAAAGTAAATTTGTATACTCTGTTTCATATACAGTACTAGTAGCCCGGGACGCCCCCTAGTGGGCGTTCCAGCAGCATTACAAATTCCTGAGACATGTTTAATGCACTTAATATATGAAAGTTGTGTGCGCTTAATGTTTAAAAGTTTGATTCAGTTAGTATATATAAATGTATACATTTCTTCATCTTCTGCAAGCCTCCACGTGTTGATTGTGCTATTCTCTGTAATGTTTCCTGCGCACGTCTCTCCCTTTGTCTCGCAGCAGCGGCAGCTTTACGTTCCCCCACAGTGGCGTATTTCTTTGGTCGTGCCATGAAAGGTTTCTATTATTATATTAAAATATTAGCTTAACTATTTCACTTATCGTTTTATCGTAGCGGTTCAAATCTATCCGGTTTTTCGTTATTCGCCCCCTAGTGAACATTACAGGCATTCCGTGACAATAATAAATTCCTATTACAAATATACTGAATTATTTATATTGTTATATTGACCAAATAATAATTTATTGGCCAAATGAATAATAATAATTTATATTGTTAATTTAAATAATAATTAAAATTGTTAATTTGAATGTTTGAAATATGACACACGATAGGGGCGCCTCTAGTGTCCGTTATCAAATGGTTACGGGACAGACGGACACGTTGAATGGGTTATATATATAGATACTGTATATTGTGTATATATGTTAAGTTCAAAGATCAAAAATGCTCAATGAGCAAAAGAAAATGGAATGCTTTGTGGCTTTACTGAAACAATTACAACAAGAAATTTTAAATTCTGGATGCTTATAGAGTCACAATGCATTCTGCTATTTTAAAAAATTCTATAAATGTGAAATTTGTGTCATGACAGTTAAAAATATAACCAAAACACATTCCTGCATTATCAACATACCATAATGTGTCATTGCAGGAACAACATAGAGGCATTTTTATAAATCTGGAAGTATATCCTGGCTTTGATCTGGGTATATCTCCATATTTTTATGAGTAATCTGTCAGGATATGTTCAACTCCATCTTTTACCATGCTGACCTTTCTTTACTAGATTAGCCAGGCCATTTCCATTGCAGGTCTGATCAAACTGGTAATGGGTAGAAAATATGTCTCTAATTCTCAGCAAAGCAGAAAGGGTATTAAAAAAAAAGAAACTTTAATGATTCTGTGCATGCAATAACAAATCCCCGCTTGGCTGTCACATTGCCTAAGAACACTTAATTTTAACAGTGAGCATATCAGTGGATATTAAGACCCAATAGTTCACAACATCTCTTGTTTTTATTATGTTTGAGAGACATATCTCCAGTTGAGATGTGCTTTAATTCGATTCTTCCTTTACTGATGAGGTCTTTCACAAAATGTAGCTTTATGTTGATGTGTTTCACCCTTTTGTGAGCGCCTTTTTCATTGGCTATACATATTGCTGCCTGATTATTGGAAAAATGCAAATTGTTTCTGAAATTTTGAATTTGCTTGGTAGCACTTCTTTTAATAACAATTGGATCCAAATAACTTCTTTGCTAGCCTCAGTAATCATGACATATTTCGCCTTGTACTTTGAAAGACTGACAGTTTTTTGTTTACAGCTTGACCAGTTTATATTTATTTCCTATTATGAAACAGTACCCAGAATGAGATTTTCTGTCATCTTCTCCACTAGTAAAAGTATCATCACAGAAACCTATAATATCTTGTTCTCCGTTTTTTTGATAGCCAAGCATTACAGCTGCAGTTCCCTTTAAATATTTAAACACTCCCTTTACTGTCCCCAATGAGTTCTGTCAAATGCATTATTAAACTTGCTCAAATTTGAAACTATATATGCAATATCAGGATGGGTCATTACTGCATCATACATAAGACAAATACTTGCTTGCTGGGTATTATCAACATCAACTCAGAATTTATCTCCTCAGATTTCCTAAGTTTTAAGTTAAGATCACATGGAATGGAAACTGGATTACATTTATCTATAAAATAAACATTCCAAAATCTCATGGATGTATTTTCTCTGGCTAAGTGTAATTGTGCCAATGTCACTATTTTTTTTAATTTCTACCTCTAAGAAGGACTTTGGAAAACCCAAGTCTTTTAGTTTGAATGATTCTGTCAACTTCTGTTTAATTTCATCTACCCAGTTACTGCTATTGTAATGTAATATTATAATGTCATCTACATGAATCAACAAAAATAAGATTTTGTTATCCTTAACCCAGTAATACAAACAGGCATCAGAGCTTGACATTTGTTACCTGATTTGCATTAGTTTTTCTCTCAATGTCTGTTGCCAAACACATTGTCCTGATTGTCTCAACCCATACAATGCTTTATGCAACTTACAAACCCAATTCTTTTTCTCTTCTATACTTCTATATCTTCTGGCTGAACTACATAGATTACTTCATGCAGTTTTCCATTGAAGTATGCTGTTTTAAAATCAAACTGCCTAAGTTCTAGGTTTTACGTTGCAGTTAATGCAAAGAGCAACCTAATAGTTCTGGTGGTCGATGCATGTGTTTCCTTGAAAGCCACTCCACTAACCTGAGTGCAACCTTTAGCTACTAACCTGGTTTGAATTTTCCCTTCTTTTTTAGGAAAAACCCATTTAGTTTTTATTGTTTTCTTATCACTAGGCAATTTACACAATTCCCATACTTTTTGATCTTGAATTGCCTTTAACTCTACTTTTATTGCTTTAACCCAATCTTCAGAATTTGGACCCTTAATTTAATTGCCTGCATATATGAGAAAGGCACTTGTTTTACTGCATAAATGGTTGAATCACTATATCTTTGTGGTGGCTTAACATTTCTCTTTGTTCGGGCACTTGGAGTTGAGACAGATGGCACTGCTCTTTTGGTTCTCCTCAGGCTTATCATCAGACATCATGGAGTCTGCATTGATATCTTGGATGTGGACATGTTGTCCATCATCATCAAGTTTGAAATCAGTCCCCACTGACCTCTTGGATTCATCTTTAATGGAATCTTCCTCCTCATCTGAGCTAGAGATTGGAAAAACGTGCATAGTTTCTGTCTGTTTCTCTACAGCTGTCATTTCATCAAATTTCACATCTCATGATATCACAATGGACTTGTTTCTGGGATCATACAGTCTGTAAGCTTGCTTAGTGGATGAATAACCAAGCTGGATGTATTTGCATGCATGTGCTTGAAACTTGTGCTTTTGTTGTTGTTTATGGATCTGTACTGTACATATGTTGTACATCTGAATACTCTGAGATGTCTTAAACTCACTTTTCACTTAAACCATTTTTCCTATGGAATGTTTCCATTCTGTTGTGGAATATGGTTAATGATATAGGCTGCTGTGAGGTTTGCCGATCGGGGAGAAAGTGTTGCGACAGTTGAGCGGTCAGCACTGTTGTGTGGGAGTGAAAAAAACTTACTGAGACAGGTTCTCCATCGTATACTGTTTAATAAATATAAAAATTTTTCTTACAACAAATCCTTAAAACAGCGTAACACCTATCCAAAGTCAAGCAACAAGTTCAACTGTTCTGACGATAGTTTTACTTCTGGCGATGGAGGCCTGAAGACGTCGACTCCAGGCTGCACAACACTATTTGGACCGAGGTCTTCTATCTACAAGGTTGACTTTAGCGATCTTGATGGCACGGGAGGGTGAAGACAAGTCCTCCAAATATCTGACAAGTTCTTGTGGGAGAATGTCCTGATGACAAAAATTCTGGAGAGGAGCACTGCGAACTAAAAGCCAAGAACTACAAACCAAGAACATCACATCCTTTTTTTGTGTGGTTTTTATAAGTTTTTTCTGGATCCCAGATTGAACATTCCGATAGGTCAGTGCCGATCTGCCCGCTCTCTAATTGGTCCCCCTCCTCGTTATGAATTGTAACGAGATTGGAGCCCAGATCGTGGGGTGAGTCAACTCCGACTGACAATTTGATTCCTATCAAAGATGTTCGATCTAAGTACTCAAATTCATCCATTGTTTTAACCTGAGTAGTTCGACTTTCTTAGAAATTTTTACAGATATGTCCTTATATGAACATAAAATATTCATTTTGTGTTTGACGGTTTCTTTTTACAATATTATAAGAATAATAATTATAATTAAAAAATTATTTTCATACGAAATTAAAAACATTTTCTGTGCACTAATTTCTAACCACTTCCGGAGCCTCACACTGCTGTTAATACACCTTTTCCCCAGTACTCTGGAGAAATCTTAGCCTCGAGCAACATACAACAGACCTTTTCTAGTCGAGTCCTGTTCATTCAGTCAGATTTCCCATTTTGTTGTGGTGAGTATGGAGTTGGTGATTATCACATGTTTGCTCAAAAAAGTTTTAAATTGACTATTTACATATTCACCACCATTATCAGTCTTCAAGTTTTTAATCTGTTTCCTGTTTGCTTCTCTACCAATCTTTTGTAGTTCATAAAACAGTTAAGCACTTTAGCACTTTACTTTTTGATTTTAGAAGATAAATATGAGTCCATCCCGAATAGTCATTAATAAAAGTCAGCAGATACTTCACATCTTCAAGGAATGTCACCCCCATGGGACCACATATGTCACTATGAACTAGTTCTAATAGATCTTTTGTTTGATGATTTGTTCTTTGGTGAAATGGTTGACATTGACTTTTACCTTGAATACACATATCACATACATCACTTGGCACTGATCTAAAATCAATCCTGTTTGGGTTCTCTGTCAAAATATACTTTATAGTATATTTATTGGGATGTCCCATTCATTTGTGCTATAACCAATATTTATTCTGAAGACTAGCTATATTTATAGAATTTTTATACACATCCAGCACATATAGCCAATTTTTATACACTTCTTTGCCATTGTATAACAATAAGTATAAGAGCTGATGTCATGTCCATACTTATTGTACTTAAAGCATCTTCCATTAAAACTTTTTGAATTGTCATTTTTTTGTTAACAGTAGTATCCCTTCTATTGAAATGATCTCTTGTTGCACTAAACACTTTTGTCTCATTAATACTAATACAATCATTTATTCAGGCATCCTACTGTATTAGTTTAGCTTTAATTGCTACTGAGGTTAATTTTGTATCTTCAATAATTACTAAATTAGTCACTAAACTGTCATATTCCTCTAGTAGACACATTAAAAGTAATTCTGCATGCTCCTGTTGTAAACTGTACAACCATTTTTTCTCAATTGATCAATAAGGGTTTGTGCTTTGTTTATATAAGCAGCCATATCTGAACACAGGTTGAAGTTAATGGAATAAAGTTCTTTTTATTTGCAGTCTCTTCAGATGCTCTTATCTTTGTAAAGGTTTGTGATAGTGTCATGCTTCTTTAATGCTTGTACAATGTTGGATATCAACTTTAATATGATCCCTAACAGCCAATGCTATTGTTCCTAACACCTGATGATCACAACTTCTTTCTTTTGTTGTAGGGTCAAGATCTGTTATGAGTGTCTCAATTGCTGCCCACAGGTCTTCCTTCATCAGTAGCATTTTCATATTGAATTGACATGATGATAAATTAGATCCTTCATCCAATTTCTGAAAGTTGACAAACCCTTCTTTTGTGCAGTTACCATTATTTCCTTGATAACTTTCCATTTTTATATGTGGTGTTTTGATTATCCCACTAAATCACAGATTAATTCAGTGTCCAACTCAACAAAAGTGTTACCCGGCCCATAACCAGTTATTTATTTGTTGGTGTACTGGATGGCCTGAGCCAGCAAGGATAAAAAATGGATAAATGTTATACATGTGTTTATTCCATGAGATCAATACACAAAGAGAGTGAACATATACAATGAGTACAATGACCCAAAAGGATCATGGGTAGTACAATACCCTGGATGTCATCATCACTCAAACTCTTTCTGCCCTCCAGGTGAAGGCAGGAAAAAAAATGGTTAAAGGCATGTGATAGACTCAACATAAACAACCTCTTGGACAAACCTTTTCCCAAAGAATTTCATCATTTTGCCTATGCTGATGATACACTCCTGGCCCTTGGAGCCAATAGCAGGTGAGAAATTGAGGACACAGGAAATGCATTTTGATTGTTTCCATTACTAGTTTCTTTTAATTTACTAAACCTAAATTTTGGCTTTCTTTAGTAATTTAAATCATACAGGGATACATTAATTGATTATTGTAGACTTTATTATTATACTTGGATTAATAAGTTACTAAAAGAAGCCAAAATTTATGCTTAGTAAATAAACTGGAAATACACTTTGAAACAGATCTCCAAATGGGTATCAGAACAGAAAGTAGACTTTAACCCCAGTAAGACATGTTTTAAAAATCCCTAGTCTTTACTAGAGAGGGTCCACTATGCAAATGAATGGGAAATCCATAAACAAAAACCATGAGACCACCATGTCCAGAGTGTAAAGCAAACCTCAATGTTTGCTTTCAAACTTCAGAAGAATTGCCAAACAGAGAAGTCTGGATCCTTAAAAAGAGGTACTAATCATTATTTATGTGGTAACATTCATTTCTAAGATCTCATATGCAGCTACAACCACAAATAGATACAACCCAAAAACCATGTACTAATGGCACAAAGAACTGCCACCCTGGCACTCACAAAGGCCTTTGAACAACTTCCACTGAAGCTCTCCTAGTTGTCTTAAGAAAACCATCCATAAATCTAATCATAGCAGAAAGAGCGTTAAGATATGAGATAAGAAAAGGATAGTGCCTAGATATTGGTTAAGGTTAAAATTTAGTTAGGTCAAAATTTCCATATAAAACTATTAGAAAATTTTTAATTACTGTATTAACAATCTTTTCATTATTAGCCTATTATCATTAATCAACATTATAATATTCATTTTTATATTAATTTTAATTTTCACAAAAGGACACAAAAAATTTTGACAGATCTGCTAGCTAGTGCATGTGTAAACAGAAATGTCATACGAAATAAAACAAGAGAGAAACCACATTCCATTACCATATTGATTACATTGTGGCTAAGGCCAAGAAAATAAACCAGCTGTTGCTAAAATGTGCTAGGTGCACCTGGGACTAAATAATAAAGCTTGTAAAACTCTATATAATGGGGCAATACAACCAATGCTACTTTACATGGTCTCTAGCTGGGGTCATGTAACTAGTAAAAATTCAGTAGCAAGTAAATTACTCTTTTCAAAGACAATTTACTATCAGAATTTCAAAGTGCTGCAGAACTGTTCCAACTAATGCCTCTCTGATACTAGCAGATCTCCTTCCTTTGCTACTATGTATTGTAGAAAAGGTTCTGAACTACATCAGAACTACAAGCATCAAGGCTTAACAACAGTCTCTACTCCTATCTATGGCTGTTCATATGCTATCACGTTCAATTATCCTACTATCTCTGATCACGCTGTAAACAAGATTATCCCCAGGGTACATTTGGTGTCACCTGCTTCCTCCATTGATAACCATGCAGACATTAATATCTACACAGATGGGTTCAAAAGTCCCATTCATGTCTGCTTGAATATCTGTATCTTCCTCCAAACTGACATATTTTGCCCAAAATATGTTAGAAGATACAGATATCCCACATACCTCCATCTATCAAGCTGAAGATGCTGTCTATCAAGCTGTTTAGTGGGCCACTTCACTATCAACAAAACTCTGTCTATTAACATTTACAGTGATTATCCATCTGTCCTAAAAGCTCTATTAAATCCCAATTGCAATAACAATAAAATCACATATATCCAGCACCATATTAAAAATCTTGTAAATAAGATAACTTTTATATTTGTTCCTGGCCATGCTGGCACACTAGGAAATGAAAACGCCGACTTTCAGGCTGTCAGCTGCAAAGGACATTGACTTGGACTACACACACATCACTCTCTCATATAGCAGCCTTAAAAATTATATTCATGACAACGCTATACAAAAGTGGAATCAATAATGGTTGAGCAGTAAAACTGGTAAATAACAAGACATCATTTTCCTAGTGTTGAATGAAGATTCTCATCACCACTTAGAGATTTGTTTGCTACTGCTCAACTACTTACTGAGCATGGTAATTTTAGAAGCTACTTTGCAATGTATAACTGGGCAGAAACTGCCTCTTGCTTTTGCTCTGCAGAAAACCTAGACACCGTTGACCATATGATCTATCATTGTCCAATTTGCAATCAAGATAGACTTATTCTGAAATTAGAAATCTTTACACTTGGTTTCAGTTGGACATGTCCACTGGATATGTTTGTTCAGAAGCCACTGTTTGATGCTTTTTACAATTATGTTCAAAAAATATGGAAGAAAAGACTATTTATAATTTCTAATTTCACATTTAGTTTTCACTAAAAGTTTTATTTATTTATCTATTTCTATACTAAAAGCTGAATACTAATTTTATGTTTACTTAGTATCATGTATTTTGGTTTATGTATTCTTAATGTTATACATCTGTAGGAGTTGTGCACTTATTCTAATAAAAACAAGAGAGAGAAACCACCACAAGGCCTTTCTCCCATGGTAAAAAATGTGTAGAGCATGAGACTGCTAGCATTATTATTCTATCACATCACACAAGATGGCGTTAGTACAGCGAGCGTTCTTAATAGAAACTGCCAAATTAAAGCCAAATTAAATCAAAACATTACCACTCAACAAGATCAAAAAATAAAAATAAGAATATTACGTAAGATGAGATCTATTACCCCCCTACTCCTGAGTAAGAAGTCCTTGACCCCACCCACCCCAAAATACCTTACATAATTTATGGATTGCCCCTAACAGGTGTAAGTCTCCCCTTCAATACAGTGAACATTTTGCTCCATAGAATAGGAGCCCAACCATTCTGGCAATTAAACTCCTGAGGAAATGTGTGACAATGTTTTTACAGATTGTTCCAAACAAGAGACAGGTTGGAGCAGTCTTCATGGCTTACCATCAAAATGAAAAGATCTATCATCAAACTATTAAGCTGAATAGCAATTTTAATACCTTTCAATCTAAACTCATTGCTATTAAAAAGGTGATTAGAATAGTCAAATCAAATCTATCAAAATGAAGAAATTCTAATCCTAACTAATAGCAAATGTGCCTCAAGAAGAGTTTAAAAATTAAAAGTCTAAACTTAAAGACAGTGAAAACAACATAGTTTCAAATGGATAAGTGCCTACATCAGCAGCATTGGAAATGAAAGGGCAAATATTTTCACTAAACAGGCAGTCATGGAACCAATAGCAGCTCAAGGAAAAACAATGAAGAAAATTCATTAAAATAATGCAAAATATCAGGATTGGATTGATGAAAGCAGCTTCAGCAATCCAATTTCAACATTTTTGTATTGCTTCACTCATAATTGTTTTATAAATGCTAATACTTATATAGTACAGTATTTTTTGACTTAATACGGTTAAATTCTATATTAAAATATTTTTTAGAAATTAAATTATAAGATAGTGAAATATAGTTATTAAATTTATTTTTAGATTAATATTGATTATAATCAAAAATATAATGGTGAGGCATCTCAACAGGAAAAATACGTGTGGGGTAGTCCAGAACAAGGAAAACTAAAGAAACGAACTTTTAGACAAAAATATGTTCCTCCTCGTCTACAAGGATCACCCCGAATCTCCTCTGATAAAATTTCTATTCTAAAACAAGAAAGTGATAATTCTATACAATCTAATGAGATGGCTCAAAAATCTACTTCATATAATATGAAGCCTACAAGTCCATTACAACAGCTTAATCATTCACCACATTCTCCATTTATTCCACAAGTAAGTATAAGTTAATAATATGAATCATGAATAGAAATAAATATTAGTGTATTTCTATTGATAATTAAATTTAAGATTCACATTTTTCAACATTTCGAAAATCATAATGCAGCATCTAAAATGATTATTTTAAAAGCTTCAAGATTATTTTAGACCAATTTTCTATTCAAATTCTTTCAAATTTTGTATAACATTATAATTGATTATATTTATCAAGAAAATTTTTACTTAGGATCGTGAAATGAATGAAAATGAAACCCCTGAAAAAACCAATGTCCAGAAATTTATAACGCCTAAAATTCCAACAAATCATGCTAAAGATTTTTCACAAAGAAGTGGAACACAAGATTTTAAAATGAAACAAACAAAAGTAATTATCTACTATAAGTAATAGATATGCATTATATCAATGGTGTGGTTTTCTTTATATTCTTTTAAAAAATCATTTTTTAAAAAATATTTCTTCAAAAAAATTGATGAGACTTCATAGGTTAAATCCAAAGAAGTTAACCAACATTTTTTTTGTCTGGACTGCATTCCATCAGAGACAAAAACTTCTGAGTGTTATCTTCATTATTCTTTATTCACTATGCATTTCAGGTGCAAAATTTTTGTGTAACTTGCACCCTCATCAGGTGTTACATTTCTGTTTTATGTTTAGACATACAGTTACGCAGTGTTGATGTTGTATCCCTTAACATCGCGTAGCTGTATGTCTAAACATAAAACAGAAATGTAACACCTGATGAGGGGTGCAAGTTACACAAAAATCTTGCACCTGAAATGCATAGTGAATAAAGAATAACGAAGATAACACTCAGAAGTTTTTGTCTCTGATGAAATGCAGTCCAGACAAAAAAAAATGTTGGTTAACTTCTTCAGATTTAACCTATGAAGTCTCATCAAATTTTTTGAAGAAATATTTTTAAAAAATTGGTTTTTTAAAAGAATAAAAGTAATATGAAAAACTGAATTTTTTTAAACAAAAAAGTTTACGTAAATTTTTTCATTAAATATAAATTTTCATTTTTTAGATAGATGATTTTGAAAATATCTGGGAAGGGTTACGACAGACTCGAGATCCATTTCCTCCTCAGCCCTCTGGTGGTCATCCTGCATTCAGCAAGCAGTTATCAGTTGAAGAACTTTTTCAAGGTTGTAGCAACTTCTATCAATTTCTTTGTTTTAATCAATTATTGTTTCAATTTAATCTCTTTTTTTTATAATTTGATAGACATTTAATGAAAAACAAATATATTTAAAATTGAATAAAAATTGATGCTTTAAATTTATTTTATTTTATTCATTGATGATGATAACTCAATTTTAGAAAATATAAAATAACTTTTAAAGTCAGGGTGGGCAACCTTCAACTCACAAACCAGATCTGGCTTTTAACAAGGTTTTAATTATCAGGGCTATTTTTTAAATAAGGTCCATTTGTGAATGAGAGTGAGAATAACGTGCGATTGCAGCAGTGCATGTGTGCATCTGCTCCTAGCATGCTTTGCACACATTTAGACACCATTTGCAGCCATATCGTCTGTCTGTGTGCTGAGCTGTAAAAGTTTATAATGTTTAAGAAAATTGAGTCACCCACCAACTGTGAGATACGATCTGTTATTCAATTCTTGAGTGCAAGAAACTTGGCAGCAGTGGATATTCATTGTCAGATTTGTGAAGTTTAGGGTGATAATGCTATGAGTGACAGTAAGTTCAAAAGTGGGTGAGAATGTTCAAGGACGGGCAGGTTAATGTGCATGATGAGCCACGTCCTGGCTTACCTTCTCTGATTTCCGAAGATTTGGTTTGTGATGTGGATAACAAAGTTTGAGAGGACCAACAATTCACGATTTCAATGTTATCAATTGAATTTCCACAGGTTTCAGATCAGTTTTGTATACCATTGTTTCGGAGAAACTGAATTATCGAAAATTGTGTACTCGATGAGTTCCAAGATTGCTTTCTGACGATCACAAAACAAAAAGATTCAGCAGTGCTTTATCATTTTTGACTCAATAAAATCAGGAAGGAGATGAATTGTTGGACCACATCATTACAGGAGATGAGACTTGGGTGTCTCACATGACTCCTGAGTCCAAGCAACAGTCAATGGAATGGCGACATACATCTTTGCCAACCAAAGCCAAACAATCCATTTCAGCACAAAAAATTATGGCAACTGTCTTTTGGGACAGGAAAGGGATTTTGTTAGTGGATTTTATGCCAAGAGGCACAACAATCAATTCTGATGCATATTGTGTGACCTTGAGAAAATTCTGGCATGGTCTTCCAGTGTGATGTTGCTCCATGACAATGTAAGGCCACGTGTTTCTGCACAAACACAAGGTCTAATCAGTTCTTTTGGATGGAAACAACTGGATCATCCAGTGATTTTCACTTGTTTTGATATTTAAAGGAGTTTTTGCTGGTCAATGGTTCAACAACGACAGTGAAAACTGCAGTCATGGATGGATTCAGCTTTTTCACAGGTGGCAGATTTCTTTGAAGTCAGAATTCAAAAAAATTGTTCAGCGGTATGACAAATGCATGAACAAAAATGGAAATTATGTACAAAAGTAGAAAAAAGTATGTAAAATGTGGGAAAAAATATATATTAATGATATTTACAGTATTTTTCTTCTTATTAAAAAACAGATCTTATTTTAAAAAATAGCCTTCATTTAACTAGTTATATAGAGTGAAAACTACTTAGGCAACCACCTGCATTTGACGGGCACCTGTCAAAACAAGCAAAAATTTCTGGCACCAAATAGTTTATTCATAAAGTCTTCATATAAGTTACCTGTATTAAACAACCACCTGTGTAATGCGACTGTGGGCATCAATTTTTGGTCCAAAACAACATACAACAACTGTAATAAGCAACCACTTCCGTGAATATATCTGGTCTAAACTATTGTTCAACAAAGTTTTCCTCTGCCTAATATAATGAATTAAACTCTCGTTCAAACCCACCTCAGACACTTCTCCAACCCTTGAAATTAGGTGCAGGTGTTAATGAATTAGTCTAGCAAGAAAGGAAATTCATTTCAGTTTGTTTGAAATTGTATGAAAAACAAAAGAAATGCAAAGTGCTGTCATTAGAAGATCGTATTAAAGTTATCACAAAAGCAATTAGCAGCTAAGTTTAACTGCGGGAAAACAAAATTTATTTTACCTTATACCTACAATATTTTCCTTGGGGATATAAAATATTGTACATGATACAATTAATAGGCTGATCTCATCATTTGATAAAATTTATTTATTTTTATTTATTTATTTCGAAGCTCATATACAGTACTGCACATGTGCGATAAATAGTTTTTGTATCAACCTGCCTTATTTCCACGATATTTTTAGAAAAATAATATTCAAGTAATTTTTGCAGGCAAAATATTCAAAAAACAATAAACGCATTAATGCAAAAATCAGTTTTACAGGCAACCTTCCTTTTTCGATTCCGCAATGACAATTGTGGAATGTAATGAAATCGTATAATGAGAAAAAATAATAAAATCGTTTTATTATTAATTAATAATTTTTCTTATTGTACTTAAGAAAATATTAAAAAATACAGTATTTTTAAAGTTAAAATAAGATTAAACTAATGAATACCAAAACCAAAGTGATGTAGAGATACAATGCACTTGTATATTGATGACGTAATACTCGTGAATGAGGAGCGAATGAAGAGAACCAAGTTGAATTAATTAAGTCGGAAAAAAGAAAGTGTGCATTATAATTGAGAAAATGTGACTATTGTATTAATCTTTAAAATATTGGTATTAAATCTGTCTTATAAAATCACGACTCCTGTAAATCGAGTTATCCGATAAGAATAAAATACAATACCAATATAGCCCTATCATTAAAAAAATTCATTTATTTTTGCTCACCTTGAGTTTTGCTTAGTAGAAATGGCTAAAAAGTGCGCAAAATACATATGGAAATATGGTATTACAGCACCACTTGTATTGGACAACCACCTGTCTAAAAGACCACTTTTTGATGGAACCGTGGGTGGTCGCCATAGACAGATTTTACTGTATATATTTTTATTTTTTACTTGCTTTGTACATATTGTAAATTTTTTGTTTTATTATAATTATTGTTAATCATTTGTGTAGTTCTTAATGTAGGTATAATTGTTAAAATTGAGAGTGGAAATCAACTGTCTAGGGACATTTCTTTAACTATACAATAAATAAATAAATATTTGTATTAATAACAATAGGTATGTTTCATTCTCATATAAGTATGAAAATATACCTTTAATAGTATTAGAATAATGAAAAATTAGTGATTATATTTTTTAAGATAAATCTTAATATTATCATAGATTACATTGTAAAAATATTAAAAGTAGTAATTTTGAAATTTACTATCAAATTAGGACTTAAAGAAAATCATATATACATATTGTACAGTACATATGAATCATAAATGCATACACGAATATAATAAAAATAATTTACTGTATCAGTTGCTTTTCATTTTAAATTGTGATTGTAATATTTCTATTTAATTTAATATGTTCACCGCTGGTATAAAAACTGATTTCCTTAGCAATATGCCAAAAATTTGGTTTTCTTTTTTATTTTTTCTTTAAAAAGTTAATTTTTAAATTGAGAATTTTACTTTGTATTTTTTAGTGAATTCACATGAAAAGTTTTATATACAATAATTTTTTTACATACTTGGCATAGTTTATCAATAAAGATAAATTGTAATATAGATAATTTAATCTTCAGCTATATAATTTTATATGCATATTTTAAAATGTTTTATAGGAGCAAAAGAAGCAGAAAATGCAATTAATCAGTCCATATCATTGAAACCAAATGTACATTCTTCAGACAAAATGTTAAATCGGCATAAGAGGTATTTACATTGCAGTTATTCAGAATATTAATAAGTTATGTATATAGATAAATAAAATAATTTTGTTTTTATTTCTAGTTGTGCTATTACAGAATTAAATAATCTTTCAAATTCTCTTTGGAAAAAATCTCCCATTTATAAAGATCTTACTGCTGGACCAATGGTTAGTATATATACAGAATATATATATATATAGAATATAATTTGTATTTGAATGTAAAAATTATCTACAAAATAGTAAGAATTAATTTTTAAGTAATAATTATATAAAATTTTATTATATTTGAACAGAAGTAAGTAGTATTCAAATGAGAAATAAATAATTAAAATTCATACATTAATTCTAATTTATGTGGATTTAATATAACTATTAGTGACTTATAAAAAATTTAAATTTCAAAAGTATAAGATAAATATTTTAATCAAATTAAAAATAAATATTTGAAGTAGTTACTGGATGTGAGGAATACTCTCTTGTGCATTATCATTTAATTATTAATAGTTTTTAATCAATTATAGTCAATAGTCAGTAGTGTTGAATGTCATAAATTTAGTTTAATGGGATAATGGTTTGGTTTCATTCCTATTGCCTCTAAAAAAAGATGCTTTGAGCAGAAATGTTTTGAGTTTTGGCAGGTACTTTGGAAGAGGTAAGAGCATAAATGGTGCTTCCATATACAGGATGTAATGGTTTCAATAATATTTATTTTTTGTTAAGTAGGATTAAATCTGAGTGATATGATTCATCTTATGTTTCACTGTGTGTTTTCACCACCATTGCAAAGACTCATTGACAATAGGTATAAAGCTGTTAATAATCTAAATAATTGGGTACTTGCAGATATCTATTTAAAAATTCTTATATTGTAACATCATCTAAAGTTTACATACAATATAGCATTTAAAAACATAAGGAAACAAAATTATAAAAATATATAAATATAATTTTTCTATCAAGTTGTTTCAAATTGGATACATTTTGTAACAGATTTTTTAGTTATAAAATAAAAGACAATAAACAGACAATAAAAGTCCCAAAAAACTATTTTAAAAAATTTAATTATAAACAAGCAAACCTTTTGTAAAATACAACACTGTCATTTCATATAGGCAAATAGATGACCTGTTGAAGATTAAAACATAAACAAAGCAAACTGGGATAATTTTAACAGCAAGCTTAGAAGAGTTTTTGATTTCACACAGTACATTTTTGGAAGCAGTATGTTTGTTAGAAACATCTAATCATTGGTTAGTTTTGCAACAAAGAGACATAAGTCTAGATACACCTTTTAAAATCATATAAAAAATAGTATTCATGGTGTCTCTCAAGAAATGTCCATAAATTATAATATTTTCATTGAATATTTGAGAAATGAACAGTGTTTGTCATTCCATAGAATATAAATGGTATTATGTAGAGATACATCACTCTGTTGCAACAAGAACCCAAACTTATATTTAAAATCATATCTAATTCATTTTAGCCAAATTTTGAGATATGCCTTTACAACAATATGAAATTTTGAAAAATTATTCTTTGAAAGTTTGTATTGGAGTATTCCAGAGCATTAAATGTAAAAATAGTGATTATAACATCAACATTTTTTAAATCAGTTTTGTAATGAACACTTATTATTATTGTAAGAAACAAAGTTTTATTAGATTGATTGGAAGGAACATTTTCTCTAATACAACTTTAGAAAGCTCAGTAAATTGGTTGACATCACTGAAATTTTTAAAATTTATTTCATTTATAACTTGTCTTAATTCTTAGCTCCAAATTATATTTTTAATAAAATTAATTTTGAAACTTAAATTTTTGTTTTTATTTATGATATATTTTATGCATGTGTTCTCAAGACTATTCTTTTTAAATTATAATAATAATACATTTATTTGACTATTATTTTGAAATATTTCTATAGAGTACTTGTCAAGCAGAAGTGATATTACCAAATGGAAAAAACTTCAGCAGTATTATTTCTCCTTCAATTCAAAAGGCAAGAGAGAGTGCAGCAGAACAAGCATTAGCTTTCATGGTATAATCTTTTTCTAATTCTTTCAAATTAGTTAGACTTAAGTTTATTTTGCATTTGAATGATGTATTATTTTATTCACATCATAATACTTGTACAATATATATTAATATATATTAAATATGATTAATAATGAGATGATTAATAATATATATATATATATATAAT